CCCCACATGTAGCACACAGAGACCACCCCACATGTAGCACACAGAGACACCCCCCCCACATGTAGCACACAGAGACACCCCCCCACATGTTGCACACAGAGTCTGGCAGCAGCATTCATGATGGACTGAAGGGGGGATAGCCTGTTTAGTGACATTAAACCATTATTTTGCATTATACTACTGGAGTGGACATCACTCTATGGGCACTAGAAGAAGGGCGGTTAGTGCTATTGGGTGGGCAGCTGAAGAACATACCCTACACAGACTAGAGATGAACCGTGGCTCCTTCAGGGGTAGCGCTACAGTGGTTTCAGGCACTTCTCTCCCATTATCAGAAAAGGAAATTAACACATAAATGCAGCATTTACTTATTTTCACAGGTCCTTCTGATCAACTATTTATCGAAGTCTTTTTAAACTATCATATTTGTGTTATCTCAGGGCAGTGTGAGAAACCATCAGTGAGCAACATGTCCATCACAAGCAATTATAAAGAATCCTATGACATCGACGAGGTGGTAACTGTGAGATGTGAGCCTGGATCTCGCCCATCATCCTCCAATATCACCTGTGTGGACCACGATGGTCTCCCTCAGTGGAATGAGACTGTTCAGTGTATAAGTGAGTACAGCAGAGACTTTCTAATCAACAGATGTTGTGTGGGAGCTTGATAACAAAGGTCTGAAGCTATACCTACATGCGCCCATAAGGGTGCTGGTGAATGATTAAGTTGGTACTTGTGGCACTAAAACTGAACTGTTAAACAACAAAATCAAGTTTTAGGCAATTTTCATTCTTAGTTTTAGATAACGTGGGGAAGAGTTAGAACCTCGGTTAGAGATAATTATCCTCACTTCTTGTTCTGCTGGCAATGGTTTACCAGCCAGGAAGTGAGGGGAACTGTGCAACAGAAACTGAAATAAAAAAGCTTTCCTGACACCGCCATGGCATTACACTAACAGGTTAAGCCCCATACCTCTCTTACATTTAGGATCATATACCAATAAATTGAACAGCCCTACCAGAGACGGCCTTTTTTCCTCCTTCAAAGATCATGGTTGAAGAAATCTCCTTACCAATCTGTAGCATAGCTACAGCTGACCAAATGATGGAATGAAGAGTCTGTGAGGGGCTTCTAAGTAGAGTTTATGCAGATGAGCCCCTTTAAGGTGACAGTGTCTTATGCCCTGCTGAATACATGGTGAAATTGTGGCAACCTACAAATAATCTTGGTACCAGATTCTTCATAGCGGTCATTCACTGTTCAGCAACAAACTTTATAATGCAACTTCTAAAGCCAAAGGCAGACAATCAGGACTTATATCACAAGATAGAAGCCTATTAAGACAGAGGAGTTTTAAATCCAGACTTCCCCCGCCAGAGCATACTAGAGACCATGGGAGTTATCAGCCTGGGAAGTAATTTAGATAAACATGTAAAGGTTCCCAATCCTCATATACAAAATCAGCAGGGGTGGACAGGAGCAGCAAAATTCCAGTTTTGTGCTGTGGGAGCCAGGTTGTCTAAGTTCAGACAAGTCGGGCATGGAGGCATTCTCGAACCCATGGGTGTGCAAGATGGTTACATTGGGCCATACATGGCAATTGTGCCTCTCGCCAATACACAGATTTGTTGTCAGAAAGACTCCAGGGGATCCAGTCAAGAAGGGTGGCAATTTATTTCAGAACAGCTGGAAAAGCATGCAATTCTCCTCATTCTTCAGGGCCAAAGGTTTCAGGCCTTTTCACATGGTCTATACTTTTCCTCCAACTCCACTAATAGACACATTTCTCAGGAGAAGGTGGCAAGACTCTGTAGTGACTCTAGTGATTCTACCATTCTGGCCAAGGTGCCCATGGTTTCTTCTCCTTCAAAAACTTGTCATCCAGCAGCTGAAACCCACAAGTTGCCAGACCTGCTATCTCAAAGCACCATTACTCATCCTTGTTCTGTCTGGTTGAGGCTAATGGCCTGGTTGTTAAAAGGGCGAAACTAGCTGAGCAAGGTGGTACAGAGAAGGTAATAGCAACTATGCAAAATCAAGGAAACCTGCCACATACTGGATCTATAATAGAATATCGAATTGCTTTGTTCAATTCTCCACTAGGAGTAGTTTCAACTCAGCAGAACCTCAAATACAACATGTATTGGCATTTTTGTAGACAGGCTTGATGTAGGTCTCAGTTCTCGAGAGTAGTGCTCTGCATCAGACCACCAAGGAAAACCTTTTCCCAAATGGGACTTACTTTACCTTTGGGGTTGCACTATCTCTTGGGTGCATCCTTCAAACCCTTACAATCATGTAATCTCTAGCTATTATCCTTAAAAGGTGTCTTTCTTGTGGCAATAGCTTTAGCTTCCAGAGTGTCTGAACTGCATGCCCTCGGGTGTAAGAATCCCTATGTGGTCTTCCACCAAGACCAGGTAGTCCTGGTTCCAATGCTGAGATTTCTCCCAAGGTATCTTCAGCTTTTCATGTGAACCGGGGACTGGTTCTTACGTTGTTCCAGGAATTTCGGGGAAGATAGCCGCATCGATTGGATGTTGCCAGAATATTCAAGGACTATCTGGAGGTCACTACCTCAATCAGGTGTTCTAAACATGTTCATCATCGCGCAACTGAAATATAAAGGATCTTCCAGAATACTTGTCTCACGGATCATTAAAATATTTCACCAGACCAATAGCGCTAAATCACTGCTAGTGCCAAAAGAGGTGACCACTCACCACCACACACAGTTTCTCAACTTCCTGGGCA